CATCATTCTCATGAAAGGCCAGGACTTCATCCCAGTTCGCCACAAGAGAGTCAAAAGAGATTCTCCTTCGTGTGAATGGCTACTGAGGAATGTTATCCCTAAGCTGAGACCTTGAGAAAGGTCATAGGAATGTTCGGATCGGAAGGTCAGTTAGCCGACATAACGAGAACATCTTCCAGCCAGTCACTTCATGTATTGGGCAAAACCGAGCTCAAACCTGATTGTTTCTCCACTATTACCAGTGGTCGCGTGCTTGCCTCGTTCATCAGACGTCCAAGATCCACATTCCAACAAGGTTAAACGTATGAGCTGTTTACGACCTTTGAAATGGCTACAACCCGTTCTCATCCCACCTAGAATAACTGTGTCAGAGCAGTAGGAAGACTGTTCGAAAAAGAGGTTCGCACACAAATTCAACAGCGTTGGCAGCCGTCCTCACCACACTGATGTGGGAATGATGTGAGTACTGTTCAAGTCAGCTTGGCAACCGAAAATTAAACCACTGTTGACCCGCATAACCGGTTGGCGTACCAGTTCCCCGTTACCCACACCGTCGATAGCTTAATTATCTACTGAATTAGAAAAAGCCAATACAATACAGTTCCATAACAACACATTTGTTTTTCTTCGTTTTTCAGTGAACAGACAAACTTCCAGCGACTCTTCAGACCCCTAATGTAATGTTTGTTTCACAATAAAGCATTTTCAAAGATCCAATTGAGTCGAATATCCTGTGAAATGGGTCACGAGTTGTTTATCCTACACAAGGCATGGGCTCTGTACAAGTTCAACCCTGGCTTGCAAGCAAGTCACCATTTCAACTGGACAACAATCACACTGGGACGGCTTTTGGACATTCGTTCACTCAGTCTGCCCGTCATTTAGGGTGTGCTCACAGTCATTGAGGTAATGACGAAAACACAGGTGATCCGCACTACTAGCGATGCAACGACTCCGAGCTCATAGCGTTGATTATCACCTTGGAGTGACCTTTTGGTGTTAATGAATATTTGTTTGTATGCTCAGGAACATTTATCCCGTTGCTTTTCCACAATCTAGAACAAGCATGTAAACAACGGCTACAACTGAAAACGGAGAACTATTTTATAGTCCAAGTCCTTCATTCCTAGGTATGCATTGGGCAAAACTGAGCTCAAACCTGGTTGTTTCTTCACTATTACCAGTGATCGCGCGCTTGCCTCGTTTATCACACGTCCAAGATCCACATTCCAGCAAGGTCAACCGTATGAACCGTTTACGACCTTTGAAATGGCTACAAACCGTTCTCATCCCATCTAGAGTAACTGCGTCAGAGCAGTGGGAAAACTGTTCAAAAAAGAGGTTCGTACACAAATTCAACAGCGTTCGCAGCCGTCCTCACCACACACTGATGTGGGAATGATGTGAGTACTATTCAAGTCAGCTTGGGAACCGAAAGTTAAACCACTGTTGACCCGTTACCCACACCATCGATAGGTTAATTATCTACTGAATTAGAAAAACCCAATACAATACATTTCCATAACAATACATCTGTTTTTCTTCGTTTTTCAGTGAACAGACAAACTTTCAGCGACTCTTCAGACCCCTAATGTAATGTTTGTTTCACAATAAAGCATTTTCAAAGATCCAATTGAGTCGAATATCCTGTGAAATGGGTCACGAGTTGTTTATCCTACACAAGGCATGGGCTCTGTACAAGTTCAACCCTGGCTTGCAAGCAAGTCACCATTTCAACTGGACAACAATCACACTGGGACGGCTTTTGGACATTCGTTCACTCAGTCTGCCCGTCATTTAGGGTGTGCTCACAGTCATTGAGGTAATGACGAAAACACAGGTGATCCGCACTACTAGCGATGCAACGACTCCGAGCTCATAGCGTTGATTATCACCTTGGAGTGACCTTTTGGTGTTAATGAATATTTGTTTGTATGCTCAGGAACATTTATCCCGTTGCTTTTCCACAATCTAGAACAAGCATGTAAACAACGGCTACAACTGAAAACGGAGAACTATTTTATAGTCCAAGTCCTTCATTCCTAGGTCGTCCCTTCGAAAAATTAAAAACCTTGCGGATCAGATTGCATATAGTTTCAAGGGAACTCGATCTATTTCGCGAGCAGTTTGAATGGAGGTTCTGGATTCGCCTTCTTGCCCCAAAAGAAGGTCCCTCAGGAAATCGGTGAACCACCTGCGCTTTGTAGGCATTCCTCCAAGCCCACAATCTGGTACTCTTTCCAAAGGAAACTTGAACACAGCTCCTTTTCAAGAGTAGTGAAGCTTTGACTCCACTTTTGAGTGGTTTTGAGTGCTAGCACCCTCATATGTGTCGAAGCAACACGCGTGATGGTGTGACCAAAAGTTTCGAATTCTTCTGATTAGGTTTGTTTCACCCAAGTAATGGAATCGATGAATTGCAGTAAGCTTGACTCGGCGTGTGATCTCACAAGCTCGTTATCGATGGCTCACCACAGCAGCCCGGGACTGCAGGTAAACAAATCACCGTCTATTCCGTTCGTCTCTGTGGAGCGAACGGAGAAAGGGACTGGTTGCGCAAGTGCAAGTCACTGGTGAATGGGTCGTAATCAGTCGCGAATCGCTAAGCGGACCTGCTGGCCCTTAAGGCCTGTCTTCAAGGACTAGTTTGAAAAAGTAAGTCTCCAGATTGTACGCATGGTCTACTGTGAGAAGTTAGATCCTGGAAGTGCGATTCTCTCAGCTGTAAGACCCTTTCGATGCCTAGCTGCCATGCCACCCGAAGGGAGAACGAGGGCTGGGTACTGCCAGGTTGTTCAAGTTTAGACAGGGGAAGTCGATAGGCGGTGGTCGGGTTGGAACCACGGAACTTCCGGTCGGTCATTCATGCACGTCAATATTACAAACTGGAAGTTTATAGCGACAGAAGGCCTTGCGATTGTGTTGAGTGTCAAAATGCTGCTAAGGCGAATAACTTAAATCGGTATTGGGACGGGATTGGCCTTAGATGCCGGACAGCCATGTCTGTCACTTGACAGATGTTTGCGACGTAATGGCACTTTATTTCAACTGGAATAAACGAAAACGCCAGCCATAAGTGAGCTCTTTTTTTACGAATATTGAACCCTGTGTATTGTCAGGGTATAAACACCATGCAGTCCTTAGTCTGATCTAAAACGATCTCCCAAGATGGTGACATACCAGTTGAAACTTGTCCCAAGGACGTGAGATGAGCTCATTTTGTGGAACCCGGAAGTAAACATACCAGTATTGACACTAATGTGTACACGCAGAGCTGGAGATCCAGGATGCTTGCGGACAAGTGTGTAACTAGAGCTGTATCAAATGGAAATCTTCACTTCAAGTTCTCTGATCTGTGTGATTCAGAGTGCAAACAAGGGCTAATATGAGGGAAGCTGGACAGGAGAATCCTGCAACGTAGGAAGAAGGATACTAAGGATACGTTGTGCATAATTCCACACACATTTATCACCATAGGAATAACAGTTCACTAGTTTGACAACAAGATCAGTTCTTTTTCGAAAAGTATGAGAAACGGATAGAAAAATGTTGGTACTCTGAAGGGATTTGGTAATCTTGACCTGTGAGTATGTTCTGTTGTTGAAGTCAGTCCATGCTCGCAAGGCTATCAGCATTGTACGGCTGTCTCATCCCTGTTGAACATCGTCAGCAGTGCGCATGCCACGAGACTTTAGTAGAGAGCTCGAACACGTGATCTTTCGGTTGGTGTTTGAATATTCCACCACTTGGCCTCGGGCGACTGTACAGCAGTGTGATAAGCTCTCACAGCGCTGTTCATCCTTTACTCCCGAGGTACACATCACTTGGTCATACTTGGTGACACGTTGTCATTCGCTGGTAGCCAAGCGCTTAGCATGCAAATTACTAACCGGGAGGTCGCGGGTTCCTGAATTTTCGCCAGAGTTTCGTGAGATGCGTGCGGGATGATCCCGAATAAGAGTGAAGTGGTTGTACAGTGCCCACATCGATTTCCCAGCATAGGCTTACTTCACTTACAGGACGAAATCCTAATCAAAAATAGCACCAAGTTCAAACAAATAAACTAGTACTTCGAATTCTTTTTGGCTTAGCATCCAGTGAATGAATACAGAAGTTCAACTGCTTGATTGAGGATCCCCCGGAGGCTATACATCTGAAGACATCCTTGTTGTCCAGTAAATAAAAATTAATCTGTCTGCTTTGCTATCGATAGCTTGCCCGGTTTTGTTCTCATTGCGCTAGAGCAGGCCAAATAATCCTAGATTAATACTGACCTCTGTGTTGTGTGTACAAATGGAACTGCGATTTCACTGCGATTGTCACCCTCACGGTACTCAAGCGTGCTTACCTGGACACGCCTCCGGTGAAATTAGTGTGCCAAATGATCAGTTCGTACGACCAGAGTGAACTGGAACTCCCACACCACATTCTATTTTGACCGATTTCATCATGTGAACGTGCAGACAGAACTGGCCAACCCTGGAAATAACTGTGATGGACACAAAAACATCACGCGTCCAGACCACAAGGTCAAACCAGAGTGTCACGCCGTGGTGCCATATGGCGCGGCCACATGAGTGTATCCGTGAATGAAAACGGCATAATTCATTCATTTTTAGCCATCCTTCAAACAACTTTTTCTTTGTCAGTTTCCGAAAGGGGGAGGCACTTTCTTCGTAAATGGCTTCGGTTCATTACCCTCATGTCCGTTTATTTCTTGCTGAAGGAATATTCGCCTCTGTCCTTGTTGAACAACCACTTAGATATCCCGGGGTCAGACTTTACACGAGCCACCAACTCCAGTCCTGATAATCTGCTCAAGCGTGGTTTCAGACCGTTTCCATCAACTTCGACGTCGAAAAAACGTCAGCTCGTGAGCAAGCTGTCATTCAGGCGTGCTATTATTAGCAATATCTGCTTCCCAGAGAGGTAAAGGGGCGTCCCAATCAGCGACGTTACAGAGACAGAATCGCAGTGCCTTTGCCAAGCTGTTCAGCATTTGATCACGTGATGTGAGTTATGTGACCACAGAATGAGTGGCGCTTTTGATCGGACGACACAGTATGCAGCTGACTGTCGCGAGTTCTCGTATTCGCATCGCCCTGGGAACTAGTGAGATGTACACTGTTGCCGAAACGATTTTACAGTGTTATCTGCCTTCCACTACATTTCGCGATCTGTTGTAAGATGATATTTCTATTAAACTTCCAGGACTTTCGCGTTCTATCATCAAGATCATGAATAAACACGTCCAAACGTGTGTTAATGCTCTACTAGAAACCGAAAATTGGTTGTATGAACGAGAAAACGTAGAGCACTAACAATGTCTGCTTGTTGAGTAAAATTATTACAACAGGTATATATGCAAACAAGGGACTTATCGTTTTGCAGGTACAGTTTGATAAATCCTGTTGTAAGTCCGGATGCAGGTTTCGTGTCTTCTTCGCTGTTGTTTACTTGGATGTCCCTACTTGGGTATTTCACTGCATTACGATACATCTTGTACATTTATAGTCGGACTTCCTTTTGTCAGCTGAGTTTGACTATTTTTCAGGACTGGAAATTCTGGACTTCTAATGATAGGTGAACAGTATACATCCTCTATAGTCTACCTCTTTGAAACTGACGAATCATTTTACGGGCACTTTAGCCTGGGTGCACTGCTAGACTGAGTTGCCAAATCTTTGGTAGCCCCGGTTAAAATGCATTGCCCATTTTTTACTGGGTACGGGGCTTTCTTATTGTACTCGAAGTACATGAATTACGGTTGATTGCTATACTCATTCATATATGCTCGTGCAGGGAGAACTTCAGGGGTCAAGCCTTCAGGACGACCATTTCGGATCTTGAAAGAGTCGTATACTTTACTGAGGAAGATCAGTTTGCAAATAAACAAACCATCTGATATGCGCAATTCCGAATATATCCATCTGGTGAGGTGGATCAACAAGATGACTGCCCCACACAGGCAGCGGTGCTTCAAAGGAATACACAAATTCACAGCGTGTTTCCTTTGAACATGCTTTGGTTCAATACAAATTGCACAACTTTTGCGTGATGTTAACGTTCTAATCTGTTTCCGATTTCCTACTTGAAACAAGCGGGTTTACCAGGAACTGAACGATGCAAAGCGATCCATACTACAACATGTTTAGTCTAAAACTTTCGCCACAGAGCAAAGCATCACCCGGAAAATCAATGTGAACTTATACAGTAAAAGGCCATGTGATTAATCACTGACTTACAAGCTATATCTGATAGTCTTCAAAGCTGTGCGAGTGGCCGACTGGGTGAGGTTGCCAAGCACCCGATTCTTTTTCTAAAGGATCATTCAGCGGCAACAGCCACTATCATGAACCTGAGGATCATAGGGGCAGTTTGCGTAAGGCACCAATACTGGATCTTAAGTTCTGGGACTGCCATCATTCGATTCCTCAGGGGTGCATTGGATATAACGAATGGTCAGTCTTTCCAGACATCAGTTGTCAAACTGAAGAATCTGTTTGCAACAGTCGGTCTCGACCAGTTCGGGTCGTTTCGTGATCTCGGGGTTCACGTTACCGAGAAGCAATGAGGCTGGATTTCCACATGGTTGAAAACAAATACGATACACATAGAAGTCTCTTAGTTG